CCACTCAAGAACTCTCCACGCAGGGTTGCGCCGCCGATCGCCGATAGTTCGTCTGCGCTTTGGGCGGTCTTTTCAAATACACATACAAATTGGCATCTTAGCTACAACTTATCGCTATCTTACTTTTAACTTATTGTTAATCTAGAATTCAAACAATATTCCTTACACACTACCACTTATCACTATCTTAAATTTAACCTATCACTAATTTAAGAAATCAAAACAACATTCACTATTCATCCATATTCATGCTAATCTAAGAAATCAAAACCATATTCACTATTCATTACAACTTATGACTATCTTAACTTTAACTTACTACTAATTTGAAGGCGGCAATCGGCGAGTCGCCTTACACCTTGTATCCGGGCCTTGGTCCTCCTCGTCTCCTGGCGGTTCGTGATACTCCTTGAGATCAGCCACGTTGGCCGTCCGTCGTTGTCGCGTGCCCAGTCGTTGCAGCCGTACTATGTTCGTTGACACGAAGTTAATCACTTTGAATGGCCCGTCATATCGTGGGCTCAACTTGGCGGCGAATGCCTCTGCCGCCTTACATAGAAAGTGGGTGCGCACCATTTCTAGGGAGCCAAGTTAGGGTGCCAGTCGCGTCTCCGCAAGTTATAATGTCGCTCCCGCTCGGCGGCCGCGTTGCTTGCGTTGGCTTGGGCGATTTCCAAGATGTCTTTCAGCTGCTTGGCCCTTTCCTCAGCTGTAGGGGTCGGCTTGCCCGTTCCAGGAGAGACATCCTCATACAAAGGTCCAGGTAGCCTCGGTTCTCGACCCTTCACGAGGAATGCTGGCTTGTATCCCGTCGTGTCCGACACTGGTGTTGATGGATAGACTGAACTCCGGTAGCAACGTGTCCCATGCGTCTTGGCGTGTTCTTAAATACTGAGCAATCATGGTTTTCACCGTTAATTTGGTTCGGGCCTGCCTGATGAATTGTGTCCAATTGTCGCACATTAGGATTCTCGGAGCTCCGAAACGGCATATTATCTTCTCACTCAGAGATTGCTCCAACGTGGCCGAAGTTGCTCGGCGTAGAGGTCCAACGTAGAGGTCCCATTCCCACTTCCGGCCCTTCTTCAGGAGTGCGGTCATCGGCTGCACTATATCGGTGAAGTTCGGAACCTACCGTCCGGACCATGACGCTAATCCGATGATTGTCACAATTCCTTCACCGTGGTAGGTGGCTGTAGATTCTGCACGGCTACTATTTTGTCTGGGTCTATGTGAATCCCCTCGTCACTTATCATGTGTCCCAGGTACGTAATCTTTCTCTGAAAGAATGCACACTTGTCCAAGTTTAGCTTTAGGTTAACTTCTCAGAGGCGACGGAATACCTCCCTCAAGACTCGCATGTGCTCCTCGAGAGTCTCTACTACCACCACGATATCTCTGTCTAGCGCGCGCTGGAAGGTAGCTGGAGCGGAATGTAAGCCGAACGGTATTACTTTCCAGTGGAAGAGGCTCGCCTTGGTACCGTGAATGCCGTGCACTCCCGACTCTCTTTGGCCATCGGGATTTGCCAGTAGACATTCTTTAATGCCATTCGTTCAGCTGCCGATAGTCCATGCCTCTCTCTCATTCCTGTCCACGAACCTTTGGTCGAGCAAGCGATTTCGGACCTCCCGACCGGTCGCTCTCTATCGATATATTTGACCCGCTTCTCAAGGACGCTTCCTCGTTCGGCTCCTCCTTCATCCTCATGGTGAGCGCTGCATTGCCACAATACAACGTGGTGTCTATAGCGCATAAGAAGTCCATTCCCAAGATAAGGTGGTCCAGCATCGCCGGCATGACGAGCACTGTCATTTTTACAACCTTTTCTGCGAGACCCACTTCTACATTCATCCTCTTCGTAATCTCTAGCGCAGATCCATTAACCAATCTGATCCGTGACTGCATCTCCTGGATTTCGCCCACGATGAGTCCTTCAATCCGCTGGTCAAGAACCATTTATCCGTGAATATCTCGCTGATCGCCCGTGGCATCCGATCTAGCTCGATGCCGTAAGTGATCGCTCTTTCTTCCACGATCTCTACGAAACCTATCGGGTCTGTTCGGCCATCGTACCGCATGCCCCATTTACGAACTTGATCGGCGACCCCCCAGGGCGGGGATCTCTCCGACGGGATCGTGGGCGCGGGGATTTGTTGACCAGTCATCGAAGTCGTCAATAGCGCCTCATACTCTCCAGCGTTGCTGAGCTCCTTCCGTTCTTCATGACGCCGCACTGCCGCGCTGTTCACCATGGGCACCCTCAGTTTCAAGGACTCTGTCTGAACGGGACCATGCTCCTGAACCTCTCGCAAATCCGGCTCCGATTTCTGGTAGGCTCAGCTGCCCATGCTTGGCACAGCGCCTCCAAGAGTGAACTCAGAGCCCTTCCCGAAACGCTTCTCGATCTCGGCCGCCGAGTAATTGTTGCTTTGTATGCTGGTAAATCCACCGAACGCTCAATCCTGGGTTATGATATTCGTCGTCTTCTATCTTAAATGTTTATTTATTCCTCTCAGTTTATTCAAAACTTATTCCGTTACTGCTGTTCTATTTATTTGTTTCTCTCCTTTTTTTTATTTTATATATATATATAAGTTAAGCGCTCCCATACTAGAGTACTAGTGATTGGGGGACGCTGTGTTGGGTTCTTGTGAATATATAACAACTTTGTGTTCAATGAAATAATATATTTTATATAATTTGGAAATTGTTGTTGTTTAGACCTATTGGGTCTAAACTCTCTCTAGTCCGAATATAAAGTGAACTAAATCTGTTCAACTGGTTAGGTTCTCCCCTTGAATGTCTGACTGGACTCTCCAGCCTCCTTAGATTGTCGAAAGTCTTAACTCTTCCCCATCTAAATATCTGCGTCCCGCAGATTAGGGTGCATATGTCCATTATAACGATATTCATCCAATATAAATTGTCCAATATAATGATAATTATCCAATATAAATTGCCCAATATAATGATATTTATCCAATATAAATTTATTATCCAGAGTCCATAAATTAGCATAAAGAGGGCCATCGATATCCACCTTCAAGTTAATTCAAAGCATTCATAGTTCCATACATTTAGTATTCATTTGTGGTTATGACAATACATCCAACATTGTAAGCGCATTTATTTCATTCAGTCTGGCATCTCGGAAATCCCTATTACCATAAATGATCGAAACTAGGAAGGATATACCACGTGCAAAATGCTGTGGATGCTATGGGCGCTAAGGAAGTTAAGGAAGCTAAAAGAAGATTATTGCAATATAATTAAATGTGCTATGGGTGCTAGGAAGTCAAGGAAGTTAAAAGAGGATTATTACAATATAATTAAATGTGCATTTTTTTTTTTTTTTTCCTATTTTCTTAAATCTGATTATTGAAGAATTTTTCCAGTTTTTGTTTTGTTGATAATCATTAATTCCACGCTTCAGCTCCAGTCGTTGTTGCCTTGAATCATTTGATTCAATTCGTATTCCAAGGTTCGAACATCACTTTTATCAGCATAATGCAATCGCCAAACTCGCTTAATTTCAGGCCAATCATCATTTTGTACACCGTACGATTACAGTGAAACATCGGCAATTCCAATTACTTTTCCTTGTTTATGTAAAATTATTGAGCGATATAGAGGTCTTTCCTTGATAATAGAATAATCTTCAAGTACGGACTCGATCCTGTTTACCCACGAGGGTGAAGGGTTTCCCTCAAATGTGGGCAACACTTTAACACAGTCCGGCAATGACGAAATTTCATTTAATTCAAGCTCCGAACGTGGACGGGCCAGTGAGGTTTGTTCCTCTATGAGAGACTGATTAGTATCCTCTTTTTCCAAACGATCCACTTTCCTATTCAATTGCTTCAAATCTTCCTTAAGACTTAAAAATTGATCGGCTAACACAGTTATTGCCGCGCTCAGCCCTTGCAACGTTCCATTAATATTTTCCATATTACTTGTTATCCGTTAATTTTACTATTATTATTCTATTTATATAAGTTATTTTTATTCTTATTTTCATTATTATTATTTTTTTTTATTATTAAACCCTCTGTAGGATTATTTTTATTTGATTACTATATTTTTTTAAATTTTTAAACTTTTTGTAGGATTTCTTTTAAATTTTTTTTTATACTCATTCACGAAAGTGAATATCTCCGATTTATAAAGTGCTAAAATTTTCCCGATCCGCCCACTAGGGGCGTGGCAAATCGGAAAATGCATTTTCCGATATACCAGAAATCATGTTAGTTAAAGAGCTAGAAAGCTGAAATTTGGAATATAGATCCGCATCGACCACTAAGGATCACGAGCTATGGCGGATATATCTACGCCCATTGGGGGCGTGGCAAATCGGATAAAACTGTATCTCCTAAAGTTGTAAACCTAGAATGCTGAAATTTTGCACGTCAGCTAATGGTATGATTCTATAAAGTCTGAAGATAAATTATAAGTCTACGCCCATTGGGGGTGTGGAAAATCGGACCTGAAGATATAGTGATTTTTTAAATTCTCCTATATTTTGGACACTATTGATGGCAGAGACCTCAAATTTTGTATATATACTCGGACTGATCACCCAAGACCAAAAAGTTTTGTCGGATATATGTCCGCCCACAGGGGGCGTGGCAAACCGCAAAAGTTTATATCTCCTAAAGTATAATAGCTAGAAGCTTCAAATTTGGATAGTTGAGTTACTGGTAGCCTCCTCTATCGATTCCCCAAAAATAATTTTTACGCCTCTTTAGGGGCGTGGCATATCGAAAAATACCCTGTAATTTTCACATTTTTTGAGGGTAAGCATTCAAACTTTGCAGTTAGGGTACCGTTATCTCTTTCTAAAAACTGACCAAAAATGAGGTGTCTACGCCCAGTTGGGGCGTGGCAAATCGGAAAAACGTGTATATTCTACAGTATTAGAGCGAAACTTAACTACTAAATTGTTGATGGGATGTGAATGAGTATTCCGCAGTCGGTAACGCCCGACTGCAACGTTCTTACTTGTTTTTTTTTTTTGTATTCTTTTTATTTGTAAATTTTTCAAAATTTTTCGTTTAGTTACGGCTTGGTGCAAAAGTGAACTAAATTATTTCAATGTCTGAAAACTTACTTACTATTCAATTCGATGCCTACTATGTTATCGATATAATTTTCTACATTAAATCAGCTTTTCATTGTTTCCAAGCTGCTGCTATTTACCGTTTCCAGTGGATATAAGAAAATATTAATAATCGTCTCGTAGAATTGCTTCCTGTGGAGATAAATATATTAGTAATGCTCTCACATGGTCGTAACACCTTTTTTAAATAATTGACGGGAATATTATTTCTTTTATATTATTTCATTGAATTACTAATTGTATTGAATTACGTGTGTGTATTACCACGTGTGTTATTGCGTTGTCTGTTATAGAATTACTGAATTACCAATTACTAGTTGTATTATCTTTTGTTACCGAACCGGCAAACAGTTTTTATTATTTTACATGGCTTGGGAAGCCCTCAGGATCCTTTTTGGTGTAAGACCTACTTAGGTGAGGGTGGTTCCACAATCATCTGGTCTCTCTCTTCCTTTCGTTTCATTTATTTATTTATTTTACTTTTTTCTGTTATATATTGTTGCCAGACTTATTCTCTTCCGAAAGGGAAGCCCAAAGTATTCCTCTCTGGTTCTAAGACCTACTAGGGTAAGGGTTATTCCACGATCGAATAGAAGGTCTCTGCAATTCATGTTTTTATTTTTGCATATTTATGCTTTGCTTGTTGATTAGAGATTTCCAGACAACCGCCTTTTAATTTTGTTATATAGTTAGTGCTTTAAGCTTAACTTTGACCACTAGGTTTCTTTTAATTTATACGGAAACCCATCATTCAACACAGGTGGAAATTGTGACGTTTATTTTTTATGACATTTGTCTTACGGCAAGGACTTGAACCTCGATACGAGAATCAATCTCATACCACCACCGCCTGCAAATTTCTTGTATTTTCGTTTTAAGACTCGTCTCGGCACGGATTTGAACCTAGGTATTGCCAATACCACCATTTAGCCATGATTTCTTTTATGTTATAGAATTATCTAGTGCACCAACACTTGCTAGAAATTATGTTATTATTTATTGTATTATTATGTTATGGCAAGGACTTTCACCTCATTACTTTGCAAATCGCAGAAGTACTTCGTAATTTTGCCAACAATTGCCCAATTCGATTGGAACAATTTATTTGTACTTGCTTTGTTAATAAGTTATTTTTATAGAATTATTGACACGTCACCATTTCCCTTTATTTCCGTGAAGAATGTGGGTCCCTGCTCGGGCGCCAGTTAAGCGCTGCCACACTAGAGTACTAGTGATTGGGGACGCTGTGTTGGGTTCTTGTGAATATATAACAACTTTGTGTTCAATGAAATAATATATTTTATACAATTTGGAACAATAGGTTTAAACTCTCTCTAATCCGAATATAAACTGAACTAAATCTGTTCAACTGGTTAGGTTCTCCCCTTGAATGTCTGACTGGACTCTCCAGCCTCCTTAGATTGTCGAAAGTTGAACGAATACACTTTACTTTGTTGGTGTTTAGTTTCGTATTGATTCTTTATTCTGCTGGGCCCGGGTTTTTATAACCAGACTCATGTATAATTTCAACCATTAAATCTGGTGCTTCTATTGCTGAGTGTGTAAGGCTCAGCATTGGTCTATTACATATTATTAACTTATCGCGTAGTTTGTAAGACTCCGCATTGGTTTATTAGCTATTATTATGCTATCGCTGAGTTTGTAATGCTCAACGCTCGCCTCTTACGTATTCTATCGCTAAGGGTCAGGGTCATAATTTATGCCCAGTTTGACAGTTCACACTTGAAACATATGTTATTTATTTTATGATAGCTGTCGAGTGCATAGCGCGTACGTTCCCCTACTTATCATATTTCTATGTTCTTGCATGTGCATGAACAAAAGTCTTACATATACTTAATTAAATATGTAATTACTTACATACATATATAATTTATACAATTTTGACTTTTAATAATATATATTTATATCCATATATTGGATACCGGCTTCAAGCTAGCAGCAGATCAGCGCGATTTTCCTATACGTGTGCACACACTCATCGTCTATTCTATGCGAACAGACAGAAGCGCGCCTTTTCTCACATTCTTAGAATTTCGATTGATTTCTGGACTTTCTAGCCGTTACTGTAGTTTTGTCTGATGACGCTCTCTTAATAAGCTATTCTATTTTAGCAATTGGCTGGTCAAGCAAAGCAGTGGTGCGGGTGCTAAAGGCGAAGTAATGTTAGAGTAGGAGGCTCGAACCTCTTCGGTGTTTTTTTTTTTTTTTTTTCATACATATTTCGTTTTTTATAAAATAGACATTTTATTGGGAAGGTGCGAGCTTGAATGAATGGCACTTAATACTGTTCTTTTTCTTAGTCGAATAATTTTATAAGTTTAAATGTGTTTATTTTTAAATAGCCCTCAAATACATATACGCAAACACATACATATGTATATATGTATATATGTAAGTCTGCACGCATAGCATCAAGCATTCCAGCCTTATACACGCGCTCATTTGTACGTGGGTATGTATGTACACATAAATGCGTACTCTAGCATATTCTAAGAATCTCAGTTGCGATTGATTTGTCTTTGCATTGTTTTTTTAATTTCCAGCCGCTACACTGGCTTTTCGTTGCTATGTGACGCGGTGGTGCTGTAGGCTGAAGTGCCCGCGATCTTTAGTTTAGATATTTTGACATGAACATGCTATTCGGCTTGGGTGCGAGTTCAAATCCCGCGGAAAACTCGTTTTTGTAAATTGAAAATTTTTTTGTTATTTTAGCTTTTTTATATTTTATTAATTTTTATGTGTACAAATACATAAATAGATGGCTGACGCATATAAATGCCGCAATATGGGCATTATAAATGCCGATTGCCACGCCTCTAGTGGCCGTAGACTTCTCATTTTTGGCCAGTTCTTAGAACGAGCAACCGGTAACCTAAATGCAAAATTTGAATTCTTACGCTCAAAAAATGTGAAAATTACAGGGTATTTTTCGATATGCCACGCCCCTAAAGAGGCTTTAAAATTATTTTTGAAACATCGATAGAGGAGGCTACCAGCAACTCAACTCAGCTTCTAGCTCTTAAACTGTAGGAGATAGAAACTTTTGCGGTTTGCCACGCCCCCTATGGGCGGACATATATCTACCATAGCTCGTTGGACGTGGGTGGTCAACCCGCGTATATATTCCAAATTTCAGGTCTCTAGCTTCAATAGTGTCCAAAATATAGCCGAATTCGAAAAATCACTATATCTTCAGGTCCAATTTGCCACGCCCCTAGTAGGCGTACATTTATGATTTTCACCCATCTTTATAGAATTAAAACATAAACTTACGTGCAAAATTTCAGCATTCTAGGTTCATAACTTTAGGAGATACAGTTTTGTCCAATTTGCCACGCCTCCAATGGGTGGAGATATATCCGCCATAGCTCGTGATCTTGGGTGGTCGACGCGGATCTACATACCGAATTTCAGCTTTCTAGCTCTTCAACAAATATGATTTCTGGTATATCGGAAAATGCATTTTCCGATTTGCCACGCCCCTAGTGGGCGGATCGGGAAAATTTTAACACTTTATAAATCGGAGATATACACGAGTATGTGCTCTAAGTTCCTCTAGCTTCAATAGCGCCGAAATAGATTGCGTTCATACGGACAGACTGACAGACGGACGGACAGCAAGACGGACATTGCACAAAACTCATTTCTCACTCATTTGCACATTCATTTCTCTTTCGTGAATGAGTCTAAGAAGTACGTAGATCTATGTACGTATTTCAGCAACGTAGATTTTGGAGCCTGGCTACGTAATTTTCTAATTTTGACTTGGCATCGCTGCACTATGGGGAAAAATCCAAATTATCGGGTATTAATTAATAACTTAAAAACTAAGCCAGATTTTTTGATCCGGTTTTTGTATTATTAATATGTATACCATCAGAAATATATTTTAGAAAAATGGGCGTGTCACCGCCCACCCAAAAAAAATTTATTAAAATTTTGTATTAAAATTTTTTTCTTTTTTTTTAAGAATTTTGCTTGTTCATACTTTAAAATAATAATTTTAATTGAAAACAATCGAACTTTCATAAAATCGAAATTAGTTTTCTTCAGTTTCGAGTTCCAAATCAGCCAGAAATATTGATCCGCTAAAAAAATTCGGGTTCTTCAACTGATTTAATTGTGCCTTCAACTTTACATAATACAATACGTACAACTTCATTAGACAGCGACCTTTATGCTTTCAAACTCTTTTCTAAAGATTTGCCGAAGAAATAATCTGATCAGATGTATCCATTGTTAAAAACCATCAGCGAAATTATGGATTCTGCTCTCATGCTCTCATGCATGATGAAATTAGTCTGATTTATAGACCTGGTTGGGCAAATCAGACGCTTCCCTTACCAAAAAGCCTACAGGATGAACAGTACTTTCCATAATCTGCCTCAAATGAACAATTATTTTTATAAACATTTGCTGTCATAGGCAGTCATTCATAGTTGTCAGCTAGTTTTTGTTCCTGCTGCATTTCTTCCATTTGTAATTTATATTTTGGCAAAAAAAGCGGCTTTTGCTTTTTTAATATCATTTATAAGTTGAATCAATATTAGTCTTATTTAGTTTCAAAATCACAATTACTATTTCTTGGTTAGAGTTGCCTTTTTCATTGAGCCAAATATCACACAGGTCAGCTCATAGTCACCTGCTAAAAATTGATTTGCGCCGGTTGTGCGCAAAAGTGCACATTGAGACAAAGGCACTAAGATCCCAATTGATTACTCTATAACATGCAATTGGAATTACACTGGTGCGCCCTGGTGGCTGTTTTATATGTCTTTGCAAAGTTTAATTTTATTTACAAGAAATGAAATTTGACAACATTTGCTAATTATACAATAAATGATTAAAATAAGTTCAAACATCAATTGGTTTTTAAGCCAACGCATAGTAGAAGCCCTAAAAATTCATATCCTTTTTAAATTTCTCAAAAATAATGTCTGGTCATTGAATAACGATGATTTGAAAATCGGCTAACACAAATTGTAAGCTGAAGGCAAATGCTTTTCGAAGATAACAGCTGACTTTAACAGCTGTTAGGCTTAACAGTGGACTGTTATTCAACATTTTGGGTACAGTACCTTAAAGTTTGGAGTTTTATTAAGATGTTAACATAAAAAAATTATAAATTTTCATACTTCGCAAAAATGACTAAATACCCGAAAAACGGCAAAATTCCCCATAGTGCGCTGGTGCTTTCATATGCGTACGAGTGTATATACATACATACATATGTACATATGTATGTGTGTATGTGCATTATTTGTTCCTCCACGGATTGAGTTGATCTCCAAGTCAAGCTGTTTCGAGTACACCTTTCATAGATGTTTTTATTTTAAAAACTTTATAAATAATTTAGTACATAAATGTTGAAAATTTTGCGTAGCATATGTATGTATGTGCATACATATCTAGTATCGATTTTCACAACAGCAATTCTTAATAAGAGCATGTTCATAGCAGGACTTCGCGTACAAAAGTGAGCAGTTATAGATTGCGCATTGAGTGGGATGCAACTGATGTCCTGCGGATAAAATATATTTAAATGGTTTGTGCTTTGCCACAAAATATAGACACTCACCTGGAATAATACAACAACAAGCATCATGTTCCACCTTGCTCGAGCAGTAGGAGTAGACGGAAGAGTCACACAGTGGACAGTTCAGAAATATCCCGATACCAGGATATCCTAAATTTAATTGCAGTCCAGTCGGTCCTAGGCCTTCAATACCCATTGTGTGACCCCAATATTCACGTACTGAAAAGGTGTTGTTCAAAGTGTTAGAGGATTGAAATAATATGAATAAACAGTAATAGTATGATATAAATGTATTATATAGTAGGATACAAATATATTATATTATATATATAAATAATAATGTTAAGTGAATAACTTTTTAACATTTTACTATGAATTTATAATCTCAAGCTGTTTATACACACATTATACAGTAGAATTCGGTTATAACGACGCATAGTTGGACCTTTGCTCATTTTGTGTTACATAAATCATAGCTTTGGAACCAAACAATATATTTAAACAAGTAAGAAAGCTCTAGTCGAGACTGTTCGAGTACGAGATCCCCTGAATCCTTCGAGCAATAGATATTTCAATCATTTTTCGCTTCTTTCTGCTTACACAAGACACACGCATACACACACAAACACACACCTGCGTACACACACACGCAGACACACACATATACAGACACATACACACATACACACACACACAAACACGCATGGGCTGCAGTGTGCGCTTACTAAGATAACTCAATTGTTTAATAACTTTCAGATTATGATTATAGCATGGTTATGCAAGTATTTGCCAAAGCACAAGCCCTAGTATTTGAAATACGCCTTTCACAGATGTGTTGGTGAGGCGGTGAATTAGAGGTGGGGATTATATTTTGACAAAACCCGAAATTGTATAAAATGCATATAAGTATACATAAAAAATTTGGAGAGTCTAGCTTTAACGATGTAGCAGATATAAATTTATTACTGGTTTTCGACAATGTTTTTAATCGATAACAAAATAACGGGGCATGCTATCAATATTTAAAGCTAAACTCGGTATGCGCGTGCTATACACGGACCTAGGAAAAAAATTTCAAGTCTCTAGCTCTAGCTCTAGCCACGCTCTTCCGGCAGAGGTCCAACTGTGCGACGGTCTCTTGAACGGTAGGTTGACCCGGAGAACTCTATAACCGTATATGATTGCTCATATATTTACACACATATGTATGTATGTTTGTCTGGGGACCAGAATTTTCGTCGCAATAACCGTACAGACACTTTAAGCAGAGTCGTAATGACCGGATTCTACTGTATAATGTATTATATGTATATAATATATAAATATATATATATACATATATTGTATTTTTCATTTACACATTTACACACCCGTTTTTTGTGTAGCTAATGCTGAATAGTTAAACCAAAATACAACTACGCACAACACGAAAAAACGCGACATGTTTACTCTTCGAAGCCGTACCATTGTTTTGTTTGGTTGGTAGATGATGATTTTGCAGCTGCTATTGCCGGTTTGCGTATATCGACTGCATTAACTTACATTTTTGTGCTGGTCTCCATCCAAAGACTTTCGCTCTCAAGGGATTGTTATAAATTTATGTATACTGCCGCATTGGACGTTGCACTATGGGCAAAAATACCGATAGTGCGGCATTAACTGTAAATTTAAAGATAGAGCCTTGAAATTTTGCGCACACGTTAGTAATATTAATACAAAATTTCGGATTTTTTTTTATTTGGGCCACGCCCTCACCCTTGTCCCATTAGCATTTTAGTTGGCAGATTTCTGAGTAGGGAGGATAAATGTCACATCCATGTTTTTTATTTAATGCTTTTATGTTGAGATATTGTTGCTTAGATAGCCCGTTTCCAATTAAAAACGCTAATGCCACCTTCAGCAGTTATGGGTACTGAGCCATTCAATGATAGCTTATTTTCCATATCCCATAAATTGTCACTGCTCATAGTTTTTTGGTTATTGGTTTCTTTTGATTTCTTTGATGAAAGCAAATCAGCATGTAGTGAGTTTTGAATTATTGCTCTCTGAGGCAAGTTCAGAAGCTAACTTCCTTTTTAATCGGCTTAAGGTCTTCCGGCCCCCATATTCATATTGTTGCCGTGGCAGTGTATCGTAAGCTTAACACTACATAATAGCCAAGGCGTATTTTTTGCTTAAATCAATTCAGATTACGATTACATTTGCGCAAATTATATTTAATAAAATATCTAAAAGTGTAGACTTTTTGCATAATAATGTCCAGTTGTACATAAGATATATTTTCGCTGTTTACATTTTCCGAAATAAAATTTCTGACAGCGCTTTCTTGCCTATTGTTGTATATTCCAAATCACGTATGTATTTGCAACATACGATATTTGGCCAAATGGAGCAAAAAGGAGCAAAAACCCTTAATAGCATTTGATTAAGGAACGTTTAGTGAATACCTAGCCACTTAAATATTTCACAACATTATAAGTTATCTTCCACGAAAGACACAAATATTTTTTAGGTTACGGCTGAAAATTCATTTAGCAACACATTGGAGTATTTCACACTAAATCACTAGGCACAGTAAATCTTTTGAAACATATTATTTAGCATACCTTTGGACAAACTTTCGGTAATTCAACTTTTTCGTAAATATTAATTGCAATGGTATTTTTTTACGCCGAAAGGTGGGAATTATTTCTCACACTTTTTGCAATTCACAATGCAATCCTGAATCAGCTGACTTCGACAAAGCTGAAAACATTACCGGGAGTCCCCAAAATTTTATAAAAATAGTTTTGACGTTAATTAGAATCTCCTTAATAGGATAAAACAAAAAAAAAAATTGCGGATTTGAGACAACCAAAATTTAGGTTTATGCCGAACTATCGATATTTTTGCCCATAGTGCGTTGTATAAAAACTGATGGCTCTAAATTAACTAGTAAAAGGTACTGTAGTCGACTCGAAAATACTCTGAAATGGGGAAAGAGGTTATATATCTCTTATACATATATATATACATATGTATGTACATATGTACAAATGCAGGTACATATGCACATGCAACAGCTCTGTTTACTGCGCAGCTTACGCATCGACTACGCTTGCCCTGCGATTTGGGCTATGTAATGGAGATTTAATTGGGCTATGTAATGGATATTTAATTGCTGAATAACTATTCTTGTACAACTTTCTTGTATTTCAAATATTCTTTTTTCAAATTCGTAGGAAAAGGGAACTGTATCCACAATTTAAAAATGTGTTCAATACACACCCTACATAGTAGGGCAATAATCAATGATCTGATTTCCTTTTGAGCCACATTTCGAATATACAAATTTGAAAAGAAAGAAGTAAGAAGGCTCTAGCCGAGACTGGTTCAGGTTATAACAAAAAAAATTCTTTCAAGTGCAAAGGACTTGGGCTACTAAGTGAGTAGATAGCAGATGGATGCGTAAGCTTGTGTGCATGTGTGTATAAAAGAAGTTCATAATGTTTTAAATATCACCCCGGTATTTAGGGGATCTCCTAGTCGACCAGTTTCCACTAGAGCACTTTTACTAGTTTCTCTTTAATTTTGTCAAACAGGCTTTTCGATTGTGGTGATATTTCGAAAGCCACGGAATTTTTTTTGTATACCCTGAACCCATTGAAATCAGGAAATAATCAAGGTATAATGGTTTTGTGAAACGTATGTAACAGGCAGAAGGAATCATCGCAGACCCCATAAAGTATATATATTCTTGATCAGGATGACGAGCTGAATCGATATAGCCCTGTACGTCTGTCCGTCCGTCCGTGTGAGCAAACCGATCTCAGAAGATATAAGAGCTAGAAAGCTTAAATTTGGCATGCATACTCGTGTATACCATAGGCAGTACAAGTTTATCTCATTTTTTTTCGATAACTCATCCGATAACTTTTTTATCGAGAATAATCGAAAAATCGACTTGGTGTTTTCAGCCTAATTTTAACGCTTTTAGGCCTGGAGACTTCAACTTGCGTATATAAAGTTAATAAATACAAAGATTTTGTAATTTACAATTTAAGTACTAAGGACTTGTGCTTTGGAATGTACACACATTTTAGCCGTATGATTACGCTTTGAAAGTTTCATAAACATATTCCATCTACAAAAGAAACTATTCAACAATTAAATTCTCATAATATTGCTTACACTGCAGCGCAGCCCAAGCGCTGTCGCTGTTAACTGCGCAATGAGCAGAGCGCGTGATATACGTGCGTGTGGTTGCGTGTGTATGCATGTGTGCATAAAAGAAATTCAGAATAAGTAGAATATTAGCTTAGAGGGTCCAGGGTATCTCCTAGTCGAGCAGGTTCGAATGGAGCCTTCTTACTTGTTATACCCTGAACCCATTTTCAATGGGAAATCAGGGTATAATGGTTTTGTCAAACGTATGTAACAGGCAGAAGGAGACGTGGCAGACCCCATAAAGTATATATATTCTTGATCAGGGTGACGAGCTGAGTCGATTTGGCCTGTCCGTCTGTCAGTCCGTCCGTCTGTCAGTATGTTTGAACGCGTCCATTTCAGAAGATACAAAAGCTAGAGACCTCTATTTTCTTGTAAAATTTCCGTGTATACCACGCGGATATTGAGTTAAGCTTTAAAAATCGATAACTCCTCCCGATATTTTTATCGATAAAAACCCTTATCGAAAATCAGTTATAAAATGATGTCTCCTACAACCTTAAAGCTAAAGTCTCCAATGTAGATTTATATGCAATTTATACAATTTCGGCTTTTGTTAAAATTTACCCTATATCCACCGTCACACCCACATATTTATAAAAGGCGTATTTCAAATACTAGAGACTTGGGCTTTGGCAAATGCAATCATATTCATGTTATAATCCTAATTTAAAAGTTTCATGAAGATCGTATGTCCACAAGAAAAGTTATTAAACAAGTAAGAAAACTCTAGTCGAGAGTGCTCGACTAGATACTACCCTGAACCAAACTAGTAAAAATGCCCATTTAGTATGGCTAAAATTTCAATTTCGATGTATTTAAAAATATAAAAATATTTTAAACAATTAAGAAAATTTCCATCAGTTGCGCACTCGGGATTCGAACTCGAGACTTCTCGTTCGAGCGTCACGAAGCTACTCCCCATACCACCACACCTTTCAAAGTTCCGTTGGCAAAACTGAAATAGATTCACTGCTGCAGCGCCATCTAGCAAAACTAATCCAAACTAACTGCTGATGTGATTCTAAAAATCTGCTAGAATAACCAAACTAATAAAAACGCACATTTAGTATGGTTAAAATTTCAATTTCGGTGTATTTAAAAATATAAATTAAGTAGAATAGGACTCATTTAATGAAATATATGTATAAATATTTTGAAACAATTAAAAGAATTAACATCAGTTGCGCCGCTCGAGGTTCGAACCCGCGACTTCTCGATCGAGCGCCACGCCGCTACTCACTACACCACCTCACTTTTGGAAGCTGCGCTGGCAAAACTGAAATAGATTCACTGCTGCAGCGCCACCTAGCAAAACTAAACCAAACTAACAGCTGATGTGATTCTAAGAATGTTCTAGAAGAAGTTTGAATGTACATATGTGTGCAAACGTATACGAAATTGTTGTTGCTGCGCATGTGCGTTTGTTAACTGGCCAAATATTTTATTATTTTTTAACTCAACGGAATTTAATGAAACTTTCAGCATATGATCCACATATTATACTGAATATTTGACAAATTTAAAAAAATTAAAAATCATTTACAATTATCAATACTGGCATCTGACTTGAACTTGAATGTTTTTATTCGATAAAAACATAACGGGATGATTTATCGAATTTTAAAAGCAAAGTAGACATCCGCGCGGTATATACGGTCATTTAAAAAAAAAATTCAAGTCTCTAGCTCTTATATCTTCGGAAATCGACGCGTTCAAACATACGGACAGGCAGACAAACGGGCAGGGTCATATCAACTCAGCTCGTCGCCCTGATCAAGAATATATATACTTTGTGTTGTCTTTGTGTTGTGTTTCTCATAGTAAGCGCACACTAAAGCCCATGCGTGTTTAGGCGTGGGTGCTTGTGTGCGTGTGTGATATATATATATATATATATATATATATATATATATATATATATATGTGTGTGTGTGTGTATGCGTGTGTGTGTGCGTGTGTCTTGTGTAAGTAGACAGACGCGAAAAATGGATGAAATAGCTATTGCTCGATGGGTTCAGGGCATCTTGTAGCGAGCAGTCTCGACTAGAGCTATCTTACTTGTTTTGTTATAGATGTATGTATTTATACATACATATGTATACAGTGGCTCACCGCTTATTTCGTGCAGCGTTATAATACAATTTTATAGCCGTATTTCCGCCAAACCAGTAAAGATATCCAAAAAAATTTAAATGAGGTCTTATTTATCAGTCATTCATTATGTATTAACGAACTTCATTATTATTCTGTTCTAACAAATAACATTTAAAACTAAAGAAAACTTAAATAACTGCCTTTTTCCACGTCACAGCTTATTTCGTGCACTTCACTTTCAATGACTTTATGTCCCAAAAATTCTTAGATTAGGATTTTGTTTACCTCTTTTTTGTTTAATCACCTCTTTTACCGCTGCACAAAATAAGCTGTGAGCGGCCACTGACCAGAGAACACATTGACTAGACATGTAGAATAAATTTTTCTACAGCAGAAAACGTTAAGTTGGTTGACCACTATACTTCGTATTTGCTCGGCTCGGTCGTTGGAGGTTCGAGCAGTGAAAGAATATCAAACGAAATGGTCCCATTCTTATATGAAGCACAGCTATGCGCTATTTGTCCTACTCTCTCTCTCTCCCTATCTCTCTCTCTCTATGGTCTCTCAAATCACCGAACTCAGCAGCGCACAAAATTTGAAATTGTTCGCGACGATCCCAGCTCTTTTCTTTTGAGTAAAGGATATACCTAAATCATAAAAGCGTTTGTAAGGCTCATGCAAACAAAATGAAGCGCTTCGATGGATATTCGTGGGAAGGGTATGAAAGCGTTGATGCACATAAACAATATGATATGTTTATAAATGCATATATCGATCAAATACAGTAATCTATATATATAAAAGAGAGTTGTGTAAAAGTGTCTTAGCACTTATAACTCGAGATCTGCTGGACCAATTTTCATGGTTTTTGATTTTGTTGGATTTGTCTCCGCACGAGGCGGATCAGTAGATCTTTAAAATACTGAAAAAATTTGACGAATACTTGAAAAACGCGGTTTTTTCCCTAAAGATTCAAATTTCCATTTATACTCAGTAGCCTTGACAACAGTGACAGTTTCGGTCCTGTATAGAAGTAAATAAACAAATGTAGTCAGTCAGTCTACGGCACAGCCTCGAGCAGACCTGACTATTCTCAAAAAAAAAAAAAAAAAAAAAGACTATTCAACAAAAAGAAAAAGACTATTCAACAAAAAAAAAAAAAAAAAAAAAAAAAAAAGACTTCAAAAAAAAATAAATAAATAAACAAAAAAAAAAAATTTTTTCCAAATCAAAAAGAAAAATATTTTAAATCAAAAATCTGCAAAAATTCAAAATTCAAAAAAAAAAAAGTTAATTATTAAAAAGTGTATTTTTGGCTTTTTATATTTTTGGATTTTTAAACTTTATAAATAATTGTGCGCGTGCGTACAAAAGCTAAATATCTCGAATGTTCAGGTATTTGTTTGTCTCAAACATAAATTTGTGTAAATTATTTATATTTATATTTCTCGATTGTTTTATATGGCTTTGTGCGAGGGCAGTATTACTATTAATAAAAATACCGCGTCCTAGAAGATCTAATCTTTCCCGGCGGACCCATAATGCAATTAGGCAACGGAATATCGCGAGTCAATTATCTGACGAAGATCGAGAAATCGCCCGAGAAAGGCTCCGCGTTAGTACCCAGCAAAGAAGGGCCTTAATTCGTTCTTCTCAAAGAGAGGCAGCCCGTGAAATGGCAATAAGAAATGGTTCAAGGTTTGATTTGAATCGAGAAGCGTTTCGATATGATTGCACCATTGACTATAGCTTGAATCGTTTAGTTTGCATTGGTCCAATGGACGTTGTTTGCCAGCATTGTGGCGCATTGAAGTTTGCTGGTGAAACGCCCGGTTTGTGCTGCCTTAGTGGTAAAGATCGAAGAGATGATCGTGGATACTAATAAGTTTAGTAAATGCTATGCTAACATTAAGGGGACATAGACATGTCATACTAACTCAAGATGTACTCATTATTGCCAAAACTACTGATGTAAGTCATGAAGGCTCATTTGAAAGTCACTCTACAACTGAAACCATACAAAATTGACAATCTAGTAAATCGCGAGACAATTATCATCCCATCTCATACATACATACACATATGTATGCAAATGTATGTGCTCACTCAAAGGCCAATCAACGGTAAATTTTGGGCATTACAATTTGCTCAGGCAGCAAAAATTACGCACACAGGCCACAAATAGTCAAACGTTTCCAGAGACTGCAAGTGTGTGTGTACTTGCCCGTCGCGAAATCATATTGTTTATGCGCATCAATGCTTTCATACCCTTCCCACGAATATCTATCGAAGCGCTACATTTTGTTTGCATGAACCTTACAAACGCTTTTATGATTTAGGTATATCCTTCACTCAAAAGGAAAGAGCTGGGATCGTCGCGAAAAAATTTCAAATTTTCGTTTGAGCGCTTACAGCGCACTGACTTCGTCGTGCAATATTTTCATTGCTCGAACCTCCAGCAACCGAGCCGAGCAAATACGAAGTATAGTGGTCGACCAACTTAACATTTTCTGCTGTAGAAAAATTTGTTCTACATGTCTAGTCTATGTGTTCTCTGGTCAGTGGAGCCACTGTATATACATGTGTGTACACATGTAGCAGACAAAACGAGGGGTGGCATAGAGTATGCATATGTACATATACATACATATGTATATACATACATACAGAATTTCGATTTTTGACAAAATACACCCTAGAAACTAGAGTTGTCAAATATGTACATATGTACATACATACATACATGCGTATGTACTACATGCGTACATATGTATGTTTGTTTGTATGTACCTACATACCAGGGATGCCAACCCTCCGTCTTTTTACGTAGATCTCCGTATTTTAAAGGAGATCTACGTGTCTACGTGTAATGAGACTAAAACTACGTACTTTTAAAAAATATTGTAAAATACCCTAAAAACTAAAATTTTTGAGTAATATCAATATATTGTGTATTAAATAAAAAATAAAATATGATTTATATTGGGTTAGCAGCACTAAAATATGCGAAACCCTTTTTAAATGGGTTAGCAGCGCTAAATTGCAAAAAGATTGGCATGGCTTACTTTCAATTTTGTGCTTGAAATTGGAGGGAAAGAAACTAATGTGAATGTAAAAAAATGGATTTTTTAACAAGTGACACCGACGAAGAAGCAAACGTAACTCCGACAAAGAAAATGAAAGTGCACTACGATGTGAAGTACTCAGCAGCTTGGGAAAAAACGTATTCCTGGTTGACGAAAAGCAGTAAGGGTAATGTTTTTATACCCTGAACCCATTTTCAATGGGAAATCAGGGTATAATGGTTTTGTTGAAATGTATGTAACAGGGAGAAGGAGGCGTGGCAGACCCCACAAAGTATATATATTCTTGATCAGGGTGACGAGCTGAGTTGATTTGGCCCTGTCCGTCTGTCTGTCCGTCTGTCCGTCTGTCCGTCTGTCCGTATGTATGAACGCGTCGATTTCAGAAGATATAAGAGCTAGAGACTTCAAATTTTTTTTAAAATGTCCGTAATTACAGCGCGCATATCAAGTTTATCATTAAAAATCGATAACTCATCTCGATCCTTTTTTATCGATAAAAAACCTTATCGAAACCCAGTTATAAAATTATATCTTCTACACCTTTATTGCTAGAGTCTCCAAATTTTTAATGTATGCTTACGTGCAATTTATACAATTTCGGTTTTTGTTAAAATTTACCCCCCACCTCTAAATTCACCCCCTCACCATCACTTTTGTAAAAAGCGTATTTCAAATACTAGAGACTTGTGCTTTGGCAATTACATGCATATTCATGTTATAATCATAATCTGAAAGTTTCATGAAGATCGTACGTCCACAAAAAAGTTATTAAACAATTAAGTTCTCATAGTAAGCGCACACTGCAGCCCATGCGTGTTTATGCGTGGTTGCTTGTGTGTGTATGTGTTTGTGTATGTGTGTGTGTATGTGTGTGTGTATGCGTTTGTGTATGTATGCGTGTGTGTGTGTATGTGTGTCTGTATGCGTGTGTGTGTGTGTATGTGTGTCTGTATGCGTGTGTGTGTGTATGTGTGTCTGTATGCGTGTGTGTGTATGTATGCCTGTGTGTGCGTACGTGCGTGTGTGTGTGTGTGTGTGCGTGTTTCTTGTGTAAGCTGAAAGTCGCGAAAAAGTATTGAAATATCTATTGCTCCAAGGGTTCAGGGGATCTCGTAGTCGAGCAGTCTCGACTAGAGCTTTCTTACTTGTTATACCCTGAACCCATTTTCAATGGGAAATCAGGGTATAATGGTTTTGTTGAAATGTATGTAACAGGGAGAAGGAGGCGTGGCAGACCCCACAAAGTATATATATTCTTGATCAGGGTGACGAGCTGAGTTGATTTGGCCCTGTCCGTCTGTCTGTCCGTCTGTCCGTCTGTCCGTCTGTCCGTATGTATGAACGCGTCGATTTCAGAAGATATAAGAGCTAGAGACTTCAAATTTTTTTAAAATGTCCGTAATTACAGCGCGCATATCAAGTTTATCATTAAAAATCGATAACTCATCCCGATCTTTTTTATCGATAAAAAACCTTATCGAAACCCAGTTATAAAATTATATCTTCTACACCTTTATTGCTAGAGTCTCCAAATTTTTAATGTATGCTTATATGCAATTTATACAATTTCGGTTTTTGTTAAAATTTACCCCCCACCTCTAAATTCACCCCCTCACCCTCACTTTTGTAAAAAGCGTATTTCAAATACTAGAGACTTGTGCTTTGGCAAGTACATGCATATTCATGTTATAATCATAATCTAAAAGTTTCATGAAGATCGTACGTCCATAAAAAAAGTTATTAAACAATTAAGTTCTCATAGTAAGCGCACACTGCAGCCCATGCGTGTTTATGCGTGGTTGCTTGTATGTGTATGTGTGTGTGTGTATGCGTTTGTGTCTGTATGCGTGTGTGTGTGTATGTGTGTCTATATGCGTGTGTGTGTATGTTTACCTGTGTGTGCGTACGTGTGTGTGTGTGTGTGTGTGCGTGTTTCTTGTGTAAGCTGAAAGTCGCGAAAAAGTATTGAAATATCTATTGCTCCAAGGGTTCAGGGGATCTCGTAGTCGAGCAGTCTCGACTAGAGCTTTCTTACTTGTTTTTTATTGCAAATCTTGCAAAGCGGACCTCAAATGCTCTTCAGGCAAGAGGGATTTAGAGAAGCATGAAGCTTCTGTTAAGCATAAGAAAAATTTGAGAAGTATGTATAGTGTTGCATTTTATAATTGTCAAGTTTGTGTCGTGTGTCCACGTGCCTTTTGTGCTCTTTTTATACGTTTGTAGTTCGATTTTCTTTAACAAATTGTTTTGTGAAAAATTTACTAAACAGTGTTTTTTGTTGCTTTTTATATGTTATTTTAATCAGTTTTACTGTTATTATTTTACTCTTAGGCATCGATCAACCAACAATATTATCTTTATTGCCTGAGGCGTCAACGTCTTATAAAAATATGGTTAAATGTGCTGAAATTAAGATGGCATTCTTTTTGGCGAAAAACAATCTTCCCTTTAGTTTGGCGGAAGATTTAAGCAGTGTCATACAATCTGTTGCTAGTGATTCAAAAATCGTAGGTTCATTAAAATTTGGACGGACAAAGGCTCAAGCTATAATAACATCGGTAACTGGACAATTGGCAGAGGACGAGTTAATAGAACGTTTAAAATCGAATAAGTTTTCGCTTATTGTCGATGAAAGTACAGACAGATCTACAACGAAACATTTTGCTCTTATTGCAAGAACTGCAGTGGCATTTAAAGTACAAGATAGCTTTTTGGGTCTTATTGCAGTCACTGACAGCTCTGCCACGGCATTGCATAATGAATGCAAGAAATTTTTTGAAGAAAGGCACATATGATATGAGCAGAACATGATAGGATTCGCTGCGCATGGATGCAATGCAATGTTTGGCCAAAACCATTCTCTTTCGCAACTGCTGAAGAAGGATATTCCTAATTTGTTTTTGATTAAATGTATATGTCATTCATTTCACCTCTGCGCGTCTTATGCTTGCAAAAAATTGCCAAAAAAAAGTGGAAGAATTTGCAAGAGATGTATATAACTTTATATCAAAAAGCCCAAAACGTATCGGAGACTATAAGGAGTTTTAGTCTTTCGTTAATGTGAAACCACACAAACTTTTACATATTGGACAATCAAGGTGGCTATCTCTGCTTCAAGTAGTTGAAAGGCTGTTAGAACAACTTCCTGCGTTAAAACTGTATTTTCAAGGAGCTGTATTGAATGACCAGTTAAAATATGCAGAGCCGATTCTCCAAATGTGTTTAGATTCGACGACAGAACTGTATTTGGAGTTTCTGAAATTTGTGCTACCGTATTTCAACAATTTAAACAAGGAAATGCAGTCAGAAAGTCCAAAATTGTATTTGCTTTACGAAAATGTTCTTGCAGTTTACAAGACAATAGTTGAGTGCTTTCTAAAATCTGATTTTTTATTATTACCTGATGAAGAATTAATAAAAATTGATTTCGCTAACGAAGATAACCACTTGCCCTTAAAAAATATGTATTTCGGAGGAAACTTTGCGGCTTTGTTGACAAAAAAAACATAACCTGGAACGAGATGAAATCATCGAGATTCAAAACTCTTGCCTTCAATTTTATATTGAAAGTTTAAGGCAACTACAAAATCGGTTTTCCTTTGAGGATGAGGAGCTACAGAAAATGAAAAGCTTACACTTTTTTAATCCAGCGACAATACTCAACAATAGTTTGAAAGCAAAGCTACCATCTATTGCACATTTAGGGCAAATGTTTCCAGGTACGTTTTTTATTGAATTATTAACAGAATTTTCAATTAGTTCTTATTATTTACAGGATTGTGTTCGCAAGATATGACGGAGCTAGACCGCGAATGGCGGCTTCTCCGGAACATGAAATTTCCCTTCAAAGAGGAGGAAGCGGTACCGCCCGAAGACTTTTGGCGTTATGTTTCAAACGTAAAAAATGGAAATTCAACCCAGACGGAGCTAACCCAAAATTTGCTTGTTTTGCCACATAGCAGTGCTAATGTTGAGCGTTTATTTTCAGAAATTAATTTAATTAAGACAAATAATAGAAACAAATTAGACACGGAGACTTTAAAAGGATTGCTTCACACCAAAAGTGGATTAAAGGAAAACTTAGAGCCTTCTGACAAGCACTTTAAATATTTTAATCAAAATATGTACAAATTTTTGTAAGCCATGTAAATAAATTAAAATGTATAATTTGAATATTGTTAAGTTTAAAAAACAGTACGTAGATCTCCGTATTTCAGTAAAGTTGTGCTACGGAAAAACACGTAGATTTTGGAGCCGGGCTACGTAATTCTCAAATTTTGACTTGGCATCCCTGCTACATACATATGTATATAATTTTCTCAAATTGACGTGAAAGTAAGGCGATACTTACATACATATGTATGTACATACATGTACATACATATGTATGCCAATTGAGACTAATCGATGGTTTTTGGAACAGTGAGCATAATAAATTACAAAGCAGTTTGCTCAAGACAAAAGATGAAATCAGAAGCGGATACAAACTCATCGATACATCGTCAGCGACAGTCACAAAGAAAACACATACCTACATACTTGCATACATATGTATGTATGTATGTATGTATATCAAGTGTTGAAGAAACGATGACCAGAAAATGAAAGACCGAAAGAAGAAAGTGAGTTGCGCAATAATTACGTCATCACATTAAATGCGTCGACGGTCGTAGCGTAAACATCACTAAAATAGCAGGTATGTACATATGTACATATGTGTGTATGTATGTATTGGGGAACTGAAAAAACGCAAGTGCGACCACAGAGTTTTGGGGTTGGACCCGCATACGTACATATGTACATATGTATGTAAGTATGTACATACAGTGGCTCACACCTTATTTCGTGCAGCAGCATAGTAAAACTTTGAAACCGTATTCCCGTTAAACCAGTAAAGATATCCCAAAAATTGAAATGAGGTCTTATTTATTGGATATTCATTATGTATTGACGCACTTAATTATGTTTCTATTATAATTACATAATAAAATTTAAAACTAAAGAAAACTAAAAAACCTGGCCTTTTACATGTCACAGCTTATTTCGTGCATTTCACTTTCAATGACTTTATTGTCAAAAAATTCATAAATTAGGATTTTTTTTTACCTTCTTTTGGTTTAATCACTTCTTTTAAGCGTGATTCCATCGAGTTAAATAATTTTCGGGTGACTTCTCTGGAGATTTTTGGCCATTCCTCCAATAGGGCCGTTTTGAGGTTATTTTGATTGGATATTTACCTCTACCGAATGGCCACGCCCAATTTGCCCACAAATTTTCTATAACGTTTAGGTATGACCACTGGGCTAGTGGATTGACCACATTTGAACAGCTCCAGATCAACCAGGACTGGACAATACCCGGTTTATGGTTTTGGTCATTAGCCTGATAAAATCGGGATGGCCATTCTAGCCCCGAATTCTCCTTTAAAAAGGATAGGTACATATTATTGTTCATATTACCATCAATGAAAACTAAGTATCCAACTCCCGAACCCGACTTGCAGGCCCAACCATGCAACAGCCACTTCCATAGCTCATATTTGGTTTTAGGTGCTGATCTTAGAGCTCAGTATTTGGTGGGCGACAGGCATATTGCTTCCAATCCGACCCATATATATGCTCAGGAGTCAAAATTTAATATATTTGCGTCGGATGGGTTCCAATATGATTGCCCCTAAGCAAATACCGAGCTCCAAGATCAGCACCTAAAACCAAATATGAGCTATGGCAGTGGCTGTTGCATGGTTGGGCCTGCAAGTCGGGTTCGGGCGTTGGATACGTAGTTTTCATTGATGGTAATATGAAAAATAATATGTACCTATCCTTTTTAAAGGAGAATTTGCTTCAAAATGCCGAAAAACTGGGTCTAGAAGGGCGATCCCGATTGCATCAGGCAAATTACCAAAAACATAAACCGGGTATTGACAAGTCCTGGTTGATCTGGAACAGTCCAAATGTGGTCAATCCACTGGCCCAGAGGTCATACCTAAACGTTATAGAAAATTTGTGGACAAAATTGAGCGTGGCCATTCGGAAATGGTCAATATACAATAAAATTGACGTCAAAACGGCCCTATTGGGGGAATGGCCAAAAATTCCCAGCGAAATCACCCGAAAATTGTTAAACTCGTTGGAATCACGATTAAAAGAGGTGATTAAACCAAAAGAAGGTAAAAAAAAAAAATCCTAATTTAAGAATTTTTTGACAATAAAGTCATTGAAAGTGAAATGCACAAAATAAGCTGTGACATGGAAAAGACCAGTTATTTTAGTTTTCTTTAGTTTTAAATGTTTTTTGTTAGAAAAAAAAAAATAATGAAGTGCGTCAATATATAATGAATATCCAATAAATAGGGCCTCATTTAAATTTTTTTAGATATCTTCACTGGTTTAGCGGGAATACGGTTTCAAAGTTTTACTATGCTGCTGCACGAAATAAGGTGTGAGCCACTGTACATAACAACAGCCAAAACAAACTAAAATGTGGGCGCGGCCTACACGCAGCAGCCGCCGACGAAAGCGAAGCAAACGTCTTAACAAACTCACAATATTGGAATGCAATTTCACTTCTTTAAATATTTTCTCAATAATTGTGTTTTTTCTCCACGTTACATAGCAACACATCTTCATATTTATGTACATATGTATGTATATACATATATGTATGTGCATACTGTACAAACATACAAGAACTAGATTTTGGACCGCCAACTAGTGTTATGCAGTGGGTCGTCTCACCACTATGTATGTTGTATGTATGTATGTACATATCATTTGGTTCAAAGTCTAGATTTTTTGTTAGTTTATATATATATATATATATATATATGTACATACATATGTATCTTAATAGGTACCTTGGTTAATCTTGAAATGCTTTTAAATATTTATCTATACACACATACATATTTACATATGTATGTATGTACATACATATTCATATAAACTATTTAAAATCACATAAATAGTGTTTCTATAGAGTACATACATATACATACATATATGTATGTATGTGCATTCACATACATATATAAAATCTGTGTGAAAATATTGCAAAACTGGTCGTGTAGAAGAGACTGCTTTTTCTCTTTTTCGTTCCTCTTTCCAACTGGCTTTAACGTTGATGGCTGTCCCTTTGACGAGCCTCTGGTGGCGACTGTGACGTCGTCATATCGACTTTGTTTATTATACTCGTTTACCAAAGTGAGATGGGTATATTGGATTTGTGTCCATCATGCTGTCCGCCCGGGTGTCCGTATGAACGAAATTTATTTCGATGCTGAACTTTTGCACGTAAGCTAATGCTACGATTCTATAAAGATCGATGCAAATAATATGTCTACGCCCGTAGAGATATGTATGAAATTTGGTACATACATATGTATGTATATTCGGGTTGACCACCCAAGACCAAAATGCTATTGCGGATTTATCTACGCCCCCCGGCGTGGCGAACCACACAAGTTTATACATATGTACATACATATGTATGTATCTCCTACAGGAGAAACACTGGAAACAAATATGGATTTTGAGAGTGGCATAAAAATACACTAATTTTCATTTTGGATCGTAATGAAATGTTACACTTTATTTTCTTCATAATTAGATCATTAATTAGCATCATTAAATATATATTTATATATACAGTCACGATAAATCATTCCCGCTAAATCGAGAAAAAAATAAAATAAAATAAAATATATACATACATATACAGAGAGAGAGACAGAGAGAACGATATGTCTTTTATTTCAAATGGCAACAGGGTATGCCAAAGTCAACAGCTTTGATTCCAGCACTCTTATTGTTTCTTGTTTCACAAAATTTCTTCACTTTCAGTTTCGTGTTTTTCTTACTCTACCTGAGTCGCTGCCAACGTTGGCTATTACTTATATGAGCTGGGGCTATCATCTCGGCAGCACTATTTTGAATTCGAGAGTGTAAAGTAACACACGACCTGTTGCTTTTTCGTGCGGCGAATTCGCAGCAATGTTGTCATTGCCTTCTTGAATATTAATCGTGTCCTAGTGCAGTGGCAAATAAAAATTCAAAGTCAAATACGTACATTTGTTTTTAAAGTGTCAGACAAAAGAATAGGCAAACCGTGTTAGGAAGCAGATACCTATTTGAAAAAGGATTTGAAAAAAAAAAAAAAGAAAACAACGGTCGACTAAAATCTAGTCTTTTAAGCATAACGGAGAAGACAAAAAGGTAATGAAACTATAACTAATGAGGTGATAACAAATATTTTTTTTAGTTTTGTGATTGTGAAATTTAATTTCATATAATAATTAATAACTAAAAATACTGACTTTTGCACAGATATTAATGATAACTGCTGGATTAGTGAATTAAGTTACAACTTGATTTGCCGTTAAGTACTAAAATACTGAACTTATCTTACAAATTCGTTCAATAATGACTGCTGTTATGCAAAATACTTATTATTATTTATTGTTATATTATTCGTGTAGTTTGCTTACTGACTTGTTAACCAAAGTGAAAGTTTTCTGCTTGTTATAAGATGAATCTCAAACTTAGTGAAAAACTGGTATGTAATTTGATAAAATATATGTAACACAAAGCCAATTAATATTACCTATTACTTTCAATATGCATGTATGTTTGATTCTCTGTAGGACATATGCTTATTTCTGAAATCTTTCACAGTAATCGAGGTATTTTAAAATTAGGCAAAATATGAAGCTTTTAGAAAAACTGACACCTTATACACAGACAAATATTACAAAATTTTGTTTTTTATACCCTGAACGAGTTTATCATTAACAAGTAAGAAGGCTCCAGTCGAGACTGCTCGACTAGGAGATACCCTGAACCCTCCAAGCTGATATTCTAATCATTCTGCACTTCTTCTATGCACACATACATACACATGCACTTATAAGCACGCGCGCTGCAGTGTGGGCAATATTATGAGAATTTTTTTTTAAATAATTTCTTTTGTAGACATACGATTAATGAAACTTTCAGAGCGTAATCATATGGTGAATATATGTGTGCATTCCAAAGCACAAGTCTCTAGTACATGAAATGCGTTTTTTACAAATTGGGGGAGAAGGGGGCGTGGTATCCAAAAAAAAGTTATCGGGTGAGCTATCGAAAAAATAAAGCAAACTCGTACTGCCTATGGTATACACGAGTATGCATGCCAAATTTCAGCTCTCTAGCTCTTATATCTTCTGAGATCCTTTTGCTCATACGGACGGACGGACAGACGGACAGGGCTATATCGACTCAGCTCGTCGTCCTGATCAAGAATATATATACTTTTATGGGGTCTGCGATGATTCCTTCTGCCTGTTACATACTTTTCACAAAACCATTATACCCTGATTTCCCATTTTCAATGGGTTCAGGGTATAAAGATCGATTACTCATCCCTATCTTATTTTATCGATAAAAAACCTTATCGAAAACCAGTTATAAAATTATATCTACTACACCTTTATTGCTAGAGTCTCCAAACTTTTTATGTATGCTTTTACATTTTCGGTTTTTGTTAAAATTTACCCCCCACCTCTACGTCCACCCCCTCACCCTCACTTTTGTAAAAAGCGTATTTCAAGAGACTTGTGCTTTGGCAAATACATGCATATCCATGTTATAATCATAATGTGAAAGTTTCATGAAGATCGTATGTCCACAAAAAATATTAATAAACAATTAAGTTCTCATAGTAAGCGCGACAGCCCATGCGTGTTTATGCTTGTGTGTGTATGTGTTTGTATGTAAATGTTTGTGTTTGTCTGTGTGTGTGTGTGTATGTGTGTGTGTGTATGTATGCCTGTGTGTGTGTGTGTGTTTCTTGTGTAAGCTGAAAGACGCGAAAAATTATTGAAATAGCTAATGCTCAAAGGGTTCAGGGGATCTCGTAGTCGAGCAGTCTCGACTAGAGCTTTCTTACTTGTTTTATTTAAAGTTGCTATGATAGTATTTACTTGTTATATTTACTTGTTTTATTTAAAGTTGCTATGATAGTAATCTGAACTCTGTGAAAATGGGAAATCAGGATATATTGTCTTTGTTACATGTATGTAGCAGACCACATAGAGCATGTAGGTTAAGTTGTGGTCTTCGGGTGTAAGTAGATTCCTTAATTCTCTCGTCCCGCGACGTTCCTTGTAATCCTCGCTGAATAGAACTTAGGAAGATTATAATGAAGAGCCTTACTTATGCTCTCTTTACGTTTGGCCTTGTGGCTCGAAGGTACAAATGAGTTGACGGCAAGATATGATATCAAAATACCGGAGCACTGTTCGACTTTATTACAGAACTGAACTATGAACTATTGCCACTGACCAGAGAACACATAGACTAGACATGTAGAACAAACTTTTCTACAGCAGAAAATGTTAAGTTGGTCGACCACTATACTTCGTATTTGCTCGGCTCTGTTGCTGGAGGTTCGAGCAATGAAAATATTGCACGACGAAGTCAGTGCGCTGTAAGCGCTCAAACGAAATGGTCCCATTCTTATATGAAGCACAGCTATGCGCTATTTGTCCTACTCCCTCTCTCTCTCTCTTTCTCTCTCTCTCTCATACATCTGTATGTAGTGGATATGACAGTCCGTAAGACCGACCAACGACCAATTTTCGGCTTTACAATTTGCACAGGCCACAAATACTCACACATGTTTCCAGAGACTACCAGTATGTGTGTGCTTGCCCGTCGCGAAATCATATTGTTTATGCGCATCACCCTTCCCACGAATATCCATCGAAGCGCTACATTTTGTTTGCATGAACCTTACAAACGCTTTTATGATTTAGGTATATCCTTTACTCAAAAGGAAAGAGCTGGGATCGTCGCGAACAAATTTCAAATTTTGTGCGCTGGGATATTACTTGTAGCCAGTGTTGCCGTTTTCTCCCGAGAAAAAATAGCTGAATCAGGACAAAAAATAAGCAAAAATAAGATAAATCCCGGAAACAATTAGCTGAAAAATAAGCTAATATTTTAGAATTGTTTTTTATACCCTGAACCCATTTTCAATGGGAAATCAGGGTATAATGGTTTTGTTGAAATGTATGTAACAGGCAGAAGGAGGCGTGGCAGACCCCACAAAGTATATATATTCTTGATCAGGGCGACGAGCTGAGTTGATTTGGCCGTCTGTCTGTCCGTCCGTCTGTCCGTATGTATGAACGCGTCGATTTCAGAAGATATAAGAGCTAGAGACTTCAAATTTTTTTTAAAATGTTCGTAATTACAGCGCGCATATCAAGTTTATCATTAAAAATCGATAACTCATCCCGATCTTTTTTTATCGATAAAAAACCTTATCGAAAACCAGTTATAAAATTATATCTTCTACACCTTTATTGCTAGAGTCTCCAAATTTTTAATGTATGCCTATATGCAATTTATACAATTTCGGTTTTTGTTAAAATTTACCCCCCACCTCTAAATTCACCCCCTCACCCTCACTTTTGTAAAAAGCGTATTTCAAATACTAGAGACTTGTGCTTTGGCAATTACATGCATATCCATGTCATAATCATAATCTAAAAGTTTCATGATGATCGTACGTCCACAAAAAAGTTATTAAGCAATTAAGTTCTCATAGTAAGCGCTCACTGCCGCCCATGCGTGTTTATGCTTGTGTGTGTATATGTATGTAATTGTTTGTGCATGTGTGTGTGTGTATGTGTGTATGTATGTGTGTGTATGTGTATGTATGCCTGTGTGTGCGTGCGTGCGTGTGTGCGTGTGTGTGTGTGCGTGTTTCTTGTGTAAGCTGTAAGACGCGAAAAATTATTGAAATAGCTATTACTCCAAGGGTTCAGGGGATCTCGTAGTCGAGTAGTCTCGACTAGAGCTTTCTTACTTGTTTTATATTGTAATAGATAGATACACGTACAAATATTGTAACAAACATTTTATATTCATGAAAAACAGAACGAAAATAATTGAAATATTAACATTATACATTTCAAATGTTTACATTAATAATAAATATGCCAATAGATAGTCTACAGACTCTTTGGTCTAATAATATAAATATTCCTTGGTTGCGATCGATTTGAGGCAGTGTAGAGAAACTCTGTATTCAAATCATCATCTGTTATCTCGGCTCAATTCGGATGTAAACTTTTAAAAATATTAGTTAATTTTTCCCGCAATCGCATTTGAAAGTAAACTAGATCTGGTCGAAAATAAGTCAGAACGGAAACACTGCTTGTAGCAGCATTTGTAGGCTTGTGTGCCTTTACATGTGCGTGTGTATGTGTTTGTTTGTATGCATGCGACATGAACATTCTACCTCAACTTAGAATGGTGTGAACGATTTTGGGCTCGAATTGGCGAATCGCGTTAATATTTACCTACTTTTATAAGTATTTATACGCTGAACCCATTTTCAATGGGAAATCAGGGTATAATGGTTTTCTTGAAATGTATGTAACAGGCAGAAGGAGGCGTGGCAGACCCCATAAAGTATATGTATTCTTGATCAGGGTGACGAGCTGAGTCGACTTGGCCCTGTCCGTCTGTCTGTCCGTCCGTCTGTCCGTATGTATGAACGCGTCCATTTCAGAAGATATAAGAGCTAGAGATTTTTTAAAAGTATCCGTAATTACAGCGCGGATATCAAGTTTATCATTAAAAATCGATAGCTCATCCCCATCTTTTTTTATCGATAAAAACCTTATAGAAAACCAGTTATAAAATTATATCTCCTACACCTTTATTGCTAAAGTCCCAAAATTTTTTATGTATGCTAATATGCAATTTATGCAATTTCGGTTTTTGTTAAAATTTACCCCCCACCCCCATATCCACCCCTTCACCCTCACTTTTGTAAAAAGCGTATTTCAAGAGACTTGTGCTTTGGCAAATACATGCATATCCATGTTGTTATTATAATCTGAAAGTTTCATGAAGATCGTATGTTCAAAAAGTTATTAAACAATTAAGTTCTCATAGTAAGCCAACACTGCAGCCCATGTGTGTTTATGCGTGGGTGCTTGTGTGTGTATGTGTTTGTGTATGTGTGTGTGTATGCGTGTGTGTATGCGTGTGTGTGTGTGCGTGCGTGCGTGCGTGTGTGTGTGTGTGTGCGTATTTCTTGTGTAAGCTGAAAGACGTGAAAAATTATTGAAATAGCTATTACTCCAAGGGTTCAGGAGATCTCGTAGTCGAGCAGTCTCGACTATAGCTTTCTTACTTGTTTTTAATTGCATCCTTTTAAATAGGCCCATTTGGCTTGTAAATGTACATACATATGCTTCTTTTTAAAAAGGTAATTTTTATCTGTAAATTGTAAATTGTACCTGGGCCTCATCAGGCACTAAATTTTTATAAAAAAATACGTTCTGATAGGCAAACCTATGATCATTGAAATAAAATCAGGTACAGAAAGGGAACATTGAGTAGAGAGTAATCTTTTGTTCAACAGCCGACCATCTCGGTCGAGCGCATGAAGCGAAATGATTTTGTGTTCCCATATTTTCGTAGCCCGAACCTAAAAGTGAAAAGCCGAGCAAATACGAAGTGGTCTGTGGTTAGTCCTAATTTACTTAGAGACTTCAAATATACTGTGTATGTCTTACTCTCTTAATTCTTAAATTTTATCGTTTCAGATGCTGTTGCGGTTAGCTTTACTGACGTCTTTCTGTTTTTGTGTTGCCAGGGCTGTGCTAAACGGAAACGACGTCAACCGACGTGAAACTGGCTTAGACCTATACGGCTCACCACCTAGGCCAACACCACATTTTAGTCATACTCTCCATCAAGTACCACACCGTGAGTATGGTGTTCCCCAGCAGATTCCCTTTAGAGATTACAGCTTGCCGATATTGAAATATGGCCCTCCAAAGCTTGACAATTTTGGCGGTGGCTCTGGGCTATCCACGAATGGATTGCATGAGCAAATCAAGACACACTTTGGCGTTCCCAAGCCATTCTATGGACCACCGCATTCACAGTATAGACCCACAACAGAATATGGTATACCACAAAAGGCACCACATTACGGCTCACCACCAAAATCATTTCCACAGCTTTTGAAAATTCAACACCGTCCGGTACCACAGTATGCAGCACCTCCAAAGCATAAATTTTTCACACGGCCTGTATCACCACAGTTATTGCCGGTATCACATTCTGCCCAACTGTTTAACCCTTCTCATCACCCAGCAACTTCTTATGGTCCGCCCGCCTCGGGACCATCAAACCTCCCAGCTAAGCCGGCTTACGAAACACCTCCAAACTACGGACCACCACCACTTCCCATTAACGTACCAGGTCCTCAATCAACAGATTTCAGCCATGCTCCAGCAACGACTATTATATTAAATAATTCAGGTGTACAGCAACTCTCTAGTGACCCAATTGATAGCCCTTTTAAGCAAGTTGAGATCCAAATAGATGCCTCTGGACACACACACAGTGTGACTGGCTCGCAAACACCTTTTCACACTGCATGCGATGGCTGGAAACCTATTCCAACACCGATTGGGACCTACATTGAAAAGAATCACATTGTAACTCAAAGTGGTTACAGTCATGTCGATCAGGGCCATATAATTGGCTCACAATACAATTTTGGTAGAGCCAACAGTGCCAAAACTGTCAACGGCATTTCCGACGAGCAACTTGTAGCAGTCGCACTTCAGGGTGAGTCCGGTAATATCGTAACTGGTCCTACTAGCGACGGTAATCTGAGCACCGTTGACTCTGAAGCGTTACAGGTGGGTTGCAATATAGTTTCAGGTAATATCTCTCTGACATGCTTCTCTATTATTTTATGATTAGGTTTTCGCCGGCGCAAATGATACTTACTCCAAGCCCCCAGCAGATTCATATCAGCCTGGATCTATTTATGATACGAAATATAAAGCTGTTGCTGGGGAAAGTCGGCCACTACCACATATATTTGGTCCTGCGTATGGCGTTTCACCGCAACAGCAGCTTTTTGCTGATGCGTTTCCTCAGTCTCAAGCCCTGTCGCATTCACATTACAATTCAAACATGCTTTATGGTACACATTCTGGTAATCCAAAGTCTTATCGCGGACATCCTAAGTCACCAGTCGCATTCCGCCCACCTGTGCCGACGGGCCTTATAGAGTCCATAGGGGCTACTGTGCAGCATTTGGATGAACTTGGTGTAAAGCCACCGTCGCAAGCACCTACATATATTCCCCCTGCAACTCACGAAATTCCATTAAATAGTGCGGATTCTGCATTACTACCCGCATACGGCGCGCCCTTTAATCGGCTGGCATCATCACAGGTTATTATGCAACAGCAGCTTCCGCAACCGTATCAAGGACCCATTTTTGCTCCGCTTGATATACAATCGCTACCAAGTCTTCATTATATTCCATCACCGCAGCAACAGCGGGCACCGGAGCAATATTTTTCAGATAGACCCTCCCCAAATATCCACCTTCCGAGTCAGCAATCGATAAGCAATAATGTGATTCCCCAGAACATGCCATCAGTTTTCTATTCTCAGGCACTACCATTAATCCAGCAAATTGACCGATTTAACCAACAAACATCAGTATCAGTGGGACGGCATCCTTACCAGCACCATCAGACACAAATTGTGTTACACGATTGCGGCCAAGGTCCCAATTTGATCAGCAGCTCTGGGTACCAAGTGCATCAGCAACAACAATTTGGGAGCGTTTCGACAGAATCTCCTAGCGTATACAATGCCATAGAGCAGAGTGTTCCTGTAGCGGAACAGCATACACAATTTTTAGCTGGTGCTGCTGACAGTTATGGCCCACCGTCTTCTGGAAATGAAATTGAGCTTGATCATTTCGGCTATGAGTCACAAAAATCCGCAGTCACAGCACTGCCGGATGGTACAGATCTGCAGCAGCTACCAGGTTTAAATGAATTGAATGTAATATCTGCACAAAAGTCTCAAGACATTAAGTTTGGCGCAAGTAATGGACAGCCACTTCAAAACTTTCAAATACAATTTGGTAGTTCAGTAAATAATGGTGGTATCAATCAAGGAAATGATGGTAACATTGATGATCCAAGTGCAACGCACGTAGACATTCTGTCACAAGGTCTACTTCAATCAATATTGACTGCAATAGAACAGCCTCAATCAGCGTCGTCTGTGCCACAGAGCCATAATGCACAAAGTCGTTCTGACGACCAATACCAAGAGAATGAAAAGAAACGCGATATAGGACATAATCCGCAAACAAATCAGCATCATAACACACCTGAAAGTGTCGAATTACAAATTTTACCCGATACAGATATTAAGAACACAAAAGATAACGAGATGGTGCCTATTGTAGCTGCCGACGTGGAAGAAAGGTCCAAGCATTAAGTCAAGTAATTACATAAGTATTTATCGCTTGAAATCCATACTTGTTTACATACATAGAAATGTATTTATGTAAATATAGTCAACTTAAATCATTTGTATATTTCATTTTCCTTTTACTTTCTCCGTAAAATTCACTAGGGAAAATATAGCCATAATATAAAATAATATAATATGACAGTTACTTTCGAAATAAGCCATTAAATTTTATACAGTATGTCCATAAATTGTTTTCAAAACAATTTGCTATTGATGATAGTAAATAGTTTGATAGTGATATGCATGTACGTACGATAATATATGTATATATATATTCTGTATAAAAATAAATGAAATAAATTATTTATTTATTATCATAATTACTTGTGTTACGATTTATTTTTCCAATAAATTTGTGATCTACATAATGAAATCTCTGCCCACTAAATTTTTCTTTCGCATTTGTCGCGACCTGAAGGCCAATTGCTGTTTGACCAAGGTCTGGATAATACATTAATGTTATTTTAAAGATGTTATTTTTCAAAAATCCTCGTAACGTCTAAGTACGATAAGCCCATTAAAAATCGAAAATCAGGGCATTATGGTATTGTTAAATTGCAGCATGTTCAATATATTGAATAAATAGTGTAAAACTTTGTTGCAAGTGTTAGCAATAAATATTAGAGAGCTGCATGGCCGCACTCATAACCTAGCAAAATAGAATGCACTCGAATTGAGAATTGTGATAGGCATACAATGTGTTGATAGAGTGGGAGATCGCATGCACTCAATATCTCATAACTCCCTGCCTTTAGTAAAAAGAACAGTTAACAACAGTTAACCAAAGTTAACAGTTAATGCAAAGTTAACAACAGTTAACCAAAGCATTTCGGCGTCGAGGCACTCGAGTTTTTGCATGCATATATTTTCGTGTCAACACTTCTTATTTGCTCGGCTCCGTCCCTTGAGGCTCGAGCAGTGAAAAATCTCACCCCAAGATCAGTGCGCTTCGGCGTTCAAGCGTAAAGCACGTATTTTAACCCTTTATACGGCCTTGTTATTAGTACTATTAGGATTTCTTTTTTGCACTCTCAACATACCATTTTTTGCACATGCAACATACCATTTATTGTCCTTATGTTTTATATGTATATACTTCTTTTATTGTTTTGTGTCATTATTTTGGATTGTCTTATGAGCTTTATGTTCTTCTTTGAGGCCAACCTACACATATGTATATTTTTGTAGACAGTATTTCTTACTTAGGAATAATGTCCGCAAAGGGATTGATACCTTCGGAAATCGCAAGATTTTTTATACCCTGAACCCATTTTCAATGGGAAATCAGGGTATAATGGTTTTATTGAAATGTATGTAACAGGCAGAAGGAGGAAGGATTCTTGATCAGGGCGACGAGCTGAGTCGATTTAGCTCTGTCCGTCCGTCCGTATGTTTGAACGCGTCAATCTCAGAAGATATAACAGATAGAGAAAAATTTCCTAGGTCCGTGTATAGCACGCGCATATCGAGTTTTATTTTAAATATCGATAACTGGCCCCGTTATTTTATTATCGATTAAAAATATTATCGAAAACCAGTAATAAATTTATATCTCCTACATCTTTTATGTGTACCTATATGCATTTTATACCATTTCGGTTTTTGTCAAAATTTACCCCCCACCTCTAATTCACCCCCTCACCCTCACATTTCTAAAAGGCGTATTTCAATAACTAGAGACTTGTGTTTTGGCACGTACATGCATATCCATGTTATAATCATAATCTAAAAGTTTTATGAAAAAAGTACATCCACAAGAAAAGTTATTAAACAATTAAGTTCCCATAGTAAGCCAACACTGCAGCCAATACGTGTTTATGCGTGCGTACGTATGTCTGTGTGTGCGTGTATGTGTGCATATGCGAATAATTATTGAAATATCAGTTGCTCGAAGGGTTCAGGGGATCTCGTAGTCGGGTAGTCTCGACTAGAGCTTTCTTACTTGTTTTTTAATAGTTTGGAGAGCGAGGACGAATTCGATTTTTCTGTCAATGAAGAAAGTGATTTCGATCCAGACAGAGAAGAATTGGATGGTACGGATGAGGCCTTGCCTACTGAAGTAATGGACTCATGTCAATCACGATCGGCTTTTCAAAATTAGGCCAACTATCCAGGAACTAAACAAAAATTTTAAAAAAGTTCCTATGGAGCAGTTTTTGTGTGTCGACGAACCAAAGCTAGAAATCATATGAAAAGATACAACCCGAACAAGCCTCATAAATGGGTATATAGAATTTATGTTCTTAGCGGCCATTCAGGCTTCTGCTATAAGTTTGAGATAGACTCAGAAAATGAAAAAAAAATTTTACTTAACGAACCAGTTCTAGGTGCGGCATCAAACTGTTGTTAGAATGGTCAGAGAAGTGCCCAGGCATCAGAACTTTCGAATTTATTTTGACAATTTTTTCAATTCATTGCCCCATTTGAAATACTTAGCGGATGAAGGTAGCTTTGGGTACTATACGAAGAAACAGAATTCCAAATAACAAAACAATTGATAATATTAATTTGAAGAATATGTCGCTGATTTTGACGGAGTTGACTTATCAGTAACATCATGGGTGGATAATAAAGTCGTATCATTAGCATCCAACTATGCTGGAACACTACCCAAGGACAAAGCACGTCGATTCAACCACTAACCAGAGAACGCATAGACCGGACACGTAGTGCAAAGCGTTTTGCACATTTTTTTTTTTCGAGCATAATCTCCCAGACCACTTCATATTTGCTCGGCTCTTCTACTTTTAGGTTTGGGCTACGTAAATATACGAAAGCATAATCATTTCGCTTCATGCGCTCGGCCGAGACGGTCAAATGTTGAACAAAAGATGCCTCTATGCTCAATTTTTTTCTTGATCTCTCTCACTCTCTATGCGCTCTACTCTCTCAAATATGTATATGTATGTATGCATGTGAGCACAAGCAGCAGCTCACGAAAACTGAAATTTCTTCGCCTTAGACTCCCGTTTTTTCCCTTCTGTGTAAGAGTATATCGAAATCTTTAAACCGTTTGCCAAGCTCCTACAAAATATTTGCGAAATCATGTACTTTATGCGCATCAACGCTTTCATACCCTTCCCAAGAATAACCATCGAAACGCTTACATTTTGTTTGCATGAGCGTGACAAAAGCTTTTATGATTTAGGTATATCCTTTACTCAAAAGGATAGAGCTGGGATCGTCGCGAACAATTTTCAATTTCTGTGCGCTGCTGCTATTTGAGAGACCATAGAGAGAGAGCATAAAGAGAGGGAGAGAGTGAGGAAGGGAAAATGAGCGCATAACCGTGCTTTATTTGATAATGTATGCAATTCGTGGCAGCAGTCGCAGCGCACTGATTTTGTCTTGCCTTATTTTCACTGCTTGAGCCTCAAACGACCGAACCGACCAAATACGAAGTTGTCCGGTCGCTTCAGCGCATTTTTTCAGTGTTGAAAAAGTTTGTTCTACATGTCTAGTCTATGTGTTCTCTCGTTAGTGGCGATACTTGCCTCTCCTGGTATTGACGATATACATATGTACATGCATATGTTAAATTATATTATACAAAAAGACACAGCTATCATCTCAACAATAAAGACTGGAAACTACACCCCGGCCTTTGTACTTATTAAAGACGCCACCACTCCAACAATAACAATGACTTTAATCTCTTACGGCTACAAAATCAAATTCAAAACTTCATCAGCTTACGTACTACAAACTTAAACCTTACCAACTACAAACTAACAATACCATACTTCATCATATTATGCCTTACAAATCTAAGCCTTACCGGCTATGAACTAAAAGATGCGACTCTTCATTGTATACCTTTATATCTTACAAACCTAACCCTTATCAGATGAAGATCTACTTCCTCCGGCACGAGCGCAATGTAAGGTGGTTCGCGGGCGAGCTACCTTACAACCTGGTCACTTCCTAGTTGGAGACACCGGGCGAGCATTGCCTGAATGCAATATAGAAGATGAACTGCTGAAATCTTTGGACCGCTGGTGTTTCAAAACTGGTATCACATAATATTTTTAGCGACGCTGGTTGGCAGACTACTTCAAGGAGCTGAACCTACGCTCTAAGTGGACTAAACCAACACCCAGAATCTCTATCTGTGACTTGGCTCTTGTACATGAGGACAACATACCTTCTGAGAAGTGCAAAATGGAACATATTACAGCTACAATTCCTGGACGAAATCAACGAGTACGAGTCGTAGATGTCCGCATTACAGCACAAAATAACTATTCTTGCTGTCTCTTGAAAGACTGCGCCATTCAATGTGGCCGGGATGTTAGGTCAAAATCACTCATACTTTTATACCCTGAACCCATTGAAAATGAGAAATATTGGTTTTGTGAAAAGTATATAACAGGCAGAAGGGATAATCGCAGACCCCATAAAGTCCGCCCGTCCGTCTGTATGAACACCTAGATCTCAGAAGTTATAAGAGCTAGAGAGCTGAAATGTTGCATTTACACTCGTGTATACCATACGCAGTACAAGTCTATCGAATTTTTTCGATAACTCATCCGATTTCTATTTTATCGAGAATAATCGATAACATCATTTTGTTTTTTGTTCAGCCTAATATGAGTACTATTAGCCCTAGAGACAGATTTACTGCGTATATACATTTGATGAATACGAACATTTTGTAATTTACAGATTTTGGATACCGCGCCTCCTTCGCAAACAATTCATAAAATCTATTTCAAATAGTAGAGACTTGTGCTTTGGTAAATGCATCATATCCATGCTGTAATTATAATCTGAAAGTTTCATGAAGTAAGTACAACCACAAAAAAAGTTAATTTACAAATAAGTTCTCATAGTAAGCGCACACTGCAGCCCATGCGTGATTAGGCGTGGGTGCTTGTGTACGTTTATGTGTGTGTGAATGCGTGTGCATGTGCGAATAATTATTGAAATATCAGTTGCTCGAACGGTTCAGGGGATCTCGTAGTCGAGGAGCCTCGACTAGAGCTTTCGTACTTTTATACCCTGAACCCATCGAAAATGGGAAATCAGGGTATAATGGTTTTGTTAATTATTAAAGGTATGTAACAGGCAGAAGGAGGCATGGCAGACCCCACAAAGTATATATATTCTTGATCAGGGCAACGAGCTGAGTCGATTTGGCGCTGTCCGTCTGTATGTATGAACGCTTTGATCTCAGAAGAGCTAGAGCTAGAGACTTGAAATTATTTCCTAGGTCCGTGTATATCACGCGCATATCGAGTTTTTCTCTAAATATCGATAACTACTCCCGATATTTTATTATCGATTGAAAACCGTATCGAAAGCGAGTTATTTAATTATA